CTCCTCGGACGGCCTGGCCAGAGACGAAGCAGGCGAACAGATCGGGCCCTATCATGTTGGTCGCCAGGGCTTGGGGGGCACCCTCGTCGCCGACCTTGTTTATGGACTTGGACCTAGCAGCGCCATGTACCTTTTCTCGGAATGCAGGTCCGACTTACTACGGGGTCAAGGGGGAGACGAGTCTCATTGATATGTTATTGTTACCTCGCGGCCTCGTTCCAGGTGTTCGGTGATGTCACGAGGCTTGGAAGAGTGGGCGCGAGTTACAGTTAATCCCCAGCGCGCGCCCTCGAGACCACCTGCCTGTCTACATGGAAGTGGAGTGCGCTATGTCTGTTACGATGCCTGACCCTCTTCACTTGCGATGGGACTATCAGAAGTTGTTGGAGGCCTTGCAGCGAGGGAACCATCGGAAATAATTTCACATGGAACTCGAGGCACGCTTTGCAGACGCGGCTCGCACTTTTTCGGCATGCCAGGACGACGCACACACGGATAGGCACTACGACCACTGGATCCAGATTGTACAAGACACGGCACGCAAACACTTCGAGCGCGCACCCATCCCAAAGCATGATGCATACCGTGTTCTTAGGCGTGAACGCCTGGCACTTGTACGAGAGCGTTTTTTTCTGCGCTGGGAAGCGCATACACGCGGGGCTGCTTACGGTTTTCTTCCTTGCTATTCTGAAGCTCATCTTGAATGTCTTAGGGGAACAACAAGAATCAGCGGGCTTCTTCGGCAGCTCTCTCACCGAACACGTGCCAGGAAAAGGGGGCAGGTCTATCAGGACCTTCACGAAGCTCGCCGCCTGGGACATCAGGCGGAGGCGCGCCGGCTTGCCCGCGTCCTCGCTGGGAGATCGGCGGGGGCGAAGAGGAGGAGGAGGTACAACCACATATCTAGCTTCGCCCCCGATTTCCAGGAGTTGGAGGAGTCGATTTCGAGGAAGGGAGCGGAAGGAGGCATGGAGGCGGAGTGCATGGGGGAGTACGAGGCCAAGTTAGCAGAGTTCTTGGAGGTTCCCCCTGTCGCTGGCGTTCTTATCCGTAGTACCCACATGAAACAATTAGCCGGAACAGCTGTAAACAGACTTGTCGACCAACTACGTCGCGCAAAAAAACGCCGTGCGACGACAAGTTGGAGCGTGCCGGTGGAGGTCGCGCTCGTCGTCGTGGACCCTGGCCATCTTTCTGAGACACGTTCGAGTTTCTTTGGGCTGGGGTACGATAGTGTTGCAGATGGTTCTCGAGAAATACCCACAGAGGCCCCTCTCCCCCGTCCCATTGTCTTCAAACCAGCCACGGAGGTCCCCGAGGAGGATGGTTTTTTTTCCCCCGCTGTCGGAGAGAGAGACGAGGGGGAGGATGAGATGTTGTCTGCATCCGCTGCGCACGTTCTTCCGCATAGAGACCTTGATCAGGGCCAACAGGCATCAACGCGAGCGAGAGACGGACGGCCAAACAGGCCAACTATGACCAATGACCTTCTTCGACCACGGCGGGAATTCGTTGAAATATTGATCCACAGCATGCGCATGGAACACTACCTACTAAAGCTACTACCGCTGAGGGCGTCTTCTTAGACAAAAGCAGCAACAAGGCAAATATGCAGAGCGCTCGCGTCATACACTTGCTTGACACGTTGTGGAAATATTGGCATGCAGTTATGCGCAGTTCGAGTTCGGAGGCAAAATGCTACGACGAGAGCTTCCCAGGCTGGTGGCACGGTTACCTACGACACAGGCGTAGGGAGGGAGCCATACTAGTTCAACAAAGAGTAGGACGCGCACTTAGACGCCTAGCAGTTCCCCATTTAAGCGAACTACACGACCTCAGCAACGCGTTCATGTGCCCTAGTTCGGAATCTCTCATTGCAGTCAGTGGTCAGTGAGCGAGTGGTCCGCCCTGAGTTCCAGGCCTTTGCTGAACAACATATTCTAAATGGAGCCGTCAGCTTCGAGAGCAACCAGGACACGCGCTTCTTTCTAACCAGGAACGGGGGCTTCTAGGGGTCCTGCGAGATGCCTAAACAGTTCCTTTTTTCCCCACGAAACGGTTGAGGAGTTGAGGTCGGACCCCGCCCACACCTCCATCTTGGCGCACTGTGCGGTTCTCGCGGGCGACATACACGAGCGCGGCATTGACGTCTCATTATCTTGTTTTGCTGACGATATATTTCGTAAACGAGTACTCCCACGAGGTCTTGCAGCACAGGAAGTCATCACAAACATAACAAAAAGCGACACCGCCATGAATCGTATCCTTACCAAATGGAGTTTGTTCTCAGAGAGGACATCATCCCCACCTTGGCTTTACTTTACTCAACCGTCAGTTGTACGACCTCTGCCCGAATACTAAAGGACATGTTAAGGCACACGCGCGACACTTTGGGGGCGCACTACACCATGACGGGCAGCAACCGCGGGGAGGTCGAGATACGAGTGAAGGAGATGAGAAGAGGATGGAGTATGATGGGGCTTTTCTGGCACGAAAGGGGTCTTCGTCGGCTTAAGCGTGAACTGTGTTTGAGCACTGTCGTGGAGAAGGGCCTCGCGGGGCTCGCAGCCTTCGTCGCCGCCCCGTCGGAGCACGCGCGCGTCGACACTATCGTCGTTCGCTACCTCCGAGTCTTGATGGAGGGCTCGGCCACGGAATGGGGAGGCACATGCGCAGCATCGAGGAGTAACGCCGAGGTGCGGCGTGCTTGGCAGATCCTGCCGAGCGCAGGCGAACTCGCAGTCCGACGGGTTCGATGGCCCCAAAATATGATCCAGCACACGCCAGCACATATTCAGACCTTATCGGTGCTACTAGGACATATTATGAACGAGCCACCCACGTTGACCCCTCCAGGCACATTGAGTAGTTCGGCCAATCCTTGGATCCGCCAGTCTAGCCACGATTTAAACCAGTATCGCGACATCAGAGGCACCGAAACATTCTTCGAGGTCTGGGATGTCACGGGCTGTTCATGGAAGGAGCTTTTCACGGCGAACTCGGACTCGGCATATGAACTACTACAGATCGACCTTAGCATTCTTCGCTCAGCGGCTTTTACCGATCAGAAGCAGTGGGACAGACTGTTCGGCAAGGTAGATTCTAGCTGTGCACGCCCTCCACTAAGGGACGTTATGTTTGCAGTATTCTTGGAACTGATAAACAGAGTTGCGGTCTCGATTTTCGCACGTATCAACTTCTACTTGCTCATCAGACAGTTCATCCTGGCACTCGTTCTGTTCTAGCCTATGGTACTATACTAAACCAATGTCCAGATTGCAACTCGGCCTCTCGCGACATCTGCGCAACTCAACATCATTCAAAGAGGGCGCATGTAAATTCAAGGTGCCAGCTGGGGCGAGCTCACATGATATGGAAGCTTCAACCACCTTCGTCATTATCATGCAATGCAAACTATGCGACTTACCCCTTTTTGGCTCAATCGCCGCGTTCCACCGCCACTTGGGGGTGGAACGCCTCCCTCTCCCTCTCCCGCGGCTGGTAGTGCCGCGACCAGCGCATCCTCGCCAGGCGGCGGATGCCCGCGGCGCCCTCGCGCACTGGAGGAGGGGCTCCGCCGCCGCACGTGCGTCAAGTGCGCCAGCGACCAGCGGAGGGCGGCAAGAAGGACGCCGGCCTCGCCGAGGCCAAGGGCTGGCAGGACGGCAAGAAACAGGTGGTGAGCTTGATGCTGCGCCAGACCATGCGCAGCGCACAACAGATACGCGAGCTGCAGAGCACCCTCTTCGACGTCTTCCTTGCGCCAGAGGGATCGCCCATCGTCTGGGCCATGCAGGAACAAACCTCGATGTACAGCGAGACGGTGAAGAACAACAAGAACCACGAGCTCGGTCCGCTCCACGCCTGGGCCATGGGCGGCCTGCTCAAGTGCTTGAAGGACACAGGCCCGACCAGCAGGATCAGCCGATCAAGATCTCGGACGCGCGCCACCAGACGATCGTGAAGGCCCACGACGAGTACGCCGAGTACACGCTGGAAAAGAAGTGCGAGCTCGCACGAGTATGCAAGCTGGAGAAAGTCTCCCAGAAGGGCAAGAAAAAGCTAACGATGTGCTTCCGCAACCAGACGTTCAGAGCGACCATCATGCAGGCGTGCCAGGGCATCGGGCAGATGGATCTGAAGCAGTGTCGCGCCCGCACGAGCTTCCCCGAGCGGGAGCTCCAAGCGGTGCTGGAGGCCATGGGGGGCTAGCAGCACAGCGAGCGGGTCAGGGGCTTCCTCGGGCGGGAGCTCCAAGAGGCGCAGTGGGCCATGAGGGGCTCGCGCCACAGACGATCGCTACGGATAGACGTCATGGTGGTCTTCCCACAGATCGGGCACGTGACTTACAATTTTGGGATGGCACGATTATCGCTGCTGATGACTATCGCACGGCTCCAGCAGAAGCAATAGATCGCGAGGCTGGGCTGACTCCAGGTCTGCCCACGCTTGCTGCTGGAGCTGATCGCGCTGTATTTCGGGAGGCCCGCCGTACTGAGGACAGCGCTTCGCGCCAGAGTATTATTCCTCCTTCTCGGCTCCGATTGGTCACTGACCATCTCGCTTATCGAGGGGTGGTGCCAGGAACCCCACAGTTTAGAATCATGATAGAGAGCGATCGGGTTTTCGATCTAGCCAGACAGTGGAATCCACAATAATTTTCTCGAGTAGCTAGCACTTTGCCAGAGCTGACACGCACGCGGACAACAGTAGAACCAGGTGTAGATGCTATGTTCTCTCCCGCTCTGGCTCAATAGCGGCTACAGAACATGCTGGATGCCAGAGCTGACGTGCACGCGGTCTACAGTAGCACCAGGTGTAGATGCTATGCTCTCTCCCGCTCTCCCGTGCACCCTTTCACTCTCGCTTTCGGGAATCTCTCGCGGAAAGCCTTCCACGGTCCCCTCACACGTCGGAGATGATCCCGTAGGGCATCGCTCCGCCGCATCTGGCCCAGCCCCGAAGGGCGATCCGCACTTAGCACGTTCACCGCTCCAACATCAGCAGGCAATCCAGAAGATGGACTGCCGAATGCTAGTTTTGATTTGAGATTTGCAGCGAGTGCAGAGTGCACGTCGCGTCAGACTTCGATGGAGCTCATGGTGGTCAGTCAGTCAGTCAGTCAGTCAGTCAGTCAGTCAGTCAGTCAGTCAGTCAGTCAGTCAGTCAGTCAGTCCTCCTCCTCCTCCTCCTCCGCCTCCCCCTCCTCCTCCTCCTCATTTAGAGGCTCCTTGCGAGCCCATTACCCGTAAAGGTCGGGAGAATCTCGCACGAATTGAACAGGGTTTGTATCCGAGGCGAGAGGGTGTGCCTGCTCAGCTCAAGGCTGCGTTGGCGCAACGAGGCCTCGGCTAACCCTCCTTTTCCCCTTCTGCACGCGACCAGCGCTTAGCCAAATAGTCCAAATAGTCCTCCCCCTCCTCCTCCTCCTCTTCCTCCTGCTCTTCCTCCTCCTCCTCCTCCTCCTCCTCCTCCTCCTCCTCCTCCTCCTCCTCCTCCTCCTCCTCCTCCTCGGGTCGCCTACGGCCCCGGGGGGAACTGTGTAGGAAGGCGATCGGAGCGGGGAGATGGCGAGCCAGTGGGGAGGGTTGGAGGGGGCGGGCGGGGGGGACGTACAGGGGGACAGAGGCAAGTGGGCGAAGGCGTTCCGGACGGGGACGGGGATGCGGAGGGAGCGGTGGGGAGCAGTGGGGAGCAGGAGCAGGAGGAGGAGGAAGGAGGAGGGAGGAGGAGGGAGGAGGAGGGAGGAGGAGAGAGGAGGAGGAGGAGGAGGAGGAGGAGGAGGAGGAGGAGGAGGAGGAGGAGGAGGAGGAGGAGGAGGAGGAGGAGGCTAGACTCGACCCAAAAAGGGTCCTGCACACGAATTCGACCCTGGGACCCCCCAAGCCTCCCAGACTCAGCCCCAGCCAGGCATTGCCGCGCCAGGGACCACGCTAGAGAGGTCGAAGGGATCCTCGGGGCCCGAAACACCACGGGCCCTGCGGGCTTGGGCCTCTGTCCTGGCCTCCAGGGCTCTGGACCCCAACAGCTGGGCCTCTGCCAGCTGAAGCCCAAACGGAGACAGGACCTCCAGGACGCTGGGCCTCTTAGGGCCAGCCGTCAGGGTACCCGTTTGGGCAACCACAGGAGGCTCGGGGGGAAAATGCCCAGACCAAAACTTGATCTCGGACTCCTCAGGCGACCGCAAGCTCCTAAGAAGCCTGTTCCCGTTGGGGTGCTTCAGGTGCTTCAGAGCGGAATTGTTGTTCTTGGCACTTGGATCGGGCCTCCTGGACACTTATCCTGAAGGCCTCGACCCCGTTTATCAGATACGTACCCGCGGCACGTAGTACAAAAGAGGAGGGTGCCGCAAGACTGCTGGGCCTCACGCGCCTTTTCATCAACAAAAATGGGCGCGGCGAGCAGCGCGTGCCCAGCGACGCGCCAAGGTTGCAGGCCAGCAGGCGCGGCGTCGGGCTCCGACGGGGCGCTGCCACCTGGCGCCTGGGAGCTGGCCGCGGCCTCACCTTCCACGTCCTCACCCTCATCCTCGAAGTCCGCTGGCCACTGCGGCCACTCGCCGAGGTCGATGAGCCTCAGCGCCACCACTCCCATGGAGTCGAGCATGCTCGTACGCGACAGCTGCACCTCGTGCGCGGCAGCGACTCGCGCCGCCAGGCGGGCCAGCGACAGGCAGCCCTCGACCACGAGGATGTCGCCGAGGTTCGCCCTGACCGCCGTCGCGCCCTGCTTGGCACGCCTGTCGGCCCGAGCGTTGCCATCCAGCTCGAACTGCGAGACTAGGCCGTCCACGACAGCCTTGGGGCCCTGGTGGGCCTTGATCTTGACGACCGTTACGTCCTGCAGCTGCTCTGCTTGGCCAGCCCAAAGGTGCGCGCGCTGGCAGCTGGCTGCGGCTGCTGCCGACGGGTTGGCCGCGCAACGCGCTGTGGCCATGCAGTCAATGTAGAGCCTGTAGCTGCCCCCTGCCACCTGCGACGTGAGGACCTTCACCACGTAGTCCTCGCCATCTCTGGCCAGCTGCTCGGGGGCCACAGCAATCGGAACCGCTCCCCGCGCCTCCACCACAAGCCTGTAGGCCTCGTCGTAGATAACCACGGACCAACCAGCGGTGCGCAGGCGCGGGCAGGCCTGGTCGAGGCCCGAGCCATCCACAAAGACGTGGTGTCCGTTGAGGTGCGGTCCCAAGGTGTACCAGCTCGTTGAACTCTCGAAGTAGTCCGCCTCTGGCCGAACAGGCCTATTCATCAACTCCGAAATGTCAGGGAAGAGGCCCCTGGCGAACAGGTCGGTGAACGGGAAGCCTAGGCCGTCCATTCGATCAGCGGCTCCGCGCAGCGGCTCCTCCAAGTAGTCACGCCTCCAAGCCTCGTGCGCCTTGCAACGAAACTGCCTGTGGAAAAGCGAGCCGTCCTTGAAACCGCAGAGCTGGCAATTGGACGGCACCGCCCGCGAGCTGTCCGCCGCTGCCACCCTAGCCTGGCACCAGTAGGCGTTCTGGATGAGGCTGCGCAGCGCCCGCTGGTGGTGCTGGTCCCAGACCTGCGACCGATGACTGGCCAGATCAAGGATCGGTTGCCAGAAGGGCGGGATGCTCCAGCCCCACATGCTGGGAGCCTGCCTGGCCACCTCCTCCAGCCCAATTGCGACACGGCACTGCAGCGCCACCAGGCTGCCAAAGAAGGCGGGCGAGTGCCTTCTGACGTCGTAAGTGCTCCTGTGCTGTCGTGAACCAGGTAGGGGTCGCCCTGCAAGAAGCCACAGCCGACACGATCCAATGTGAGGACCAGAGCGCTGATGGGATCCTTGACCTGCCGCCAAGGATGCCGTTGCTGGGCGAGCGCCTTGCCCCTAGCTAGGCAGGAGCGGGCCGCCGCCTCAGGCAGCAGCGAGGCCCAGATCACCTCGACGTAGGCCATGAGCGCGGTCCTGGTGACAATGGTCAGCGGGCCCCTCTTCCAGCCACTGGCCTGGGCTAGGCTGGCAAGCCCCAAGGCCGCTCCACGGGGCAAGCGTCCTCTCGCCTTGATCGCACCGACACGCAGCTGGCGCAGCCTGCCATTCGGGACGCCCATGATGGCCGAGCCCCAGGTGGCCTTGGCCGTGGGGCCCGCACGGTAGACCCTCGCACGGTCCAGCCCAGGACGGAAAAGGCTAGTGAGCTTCCTGCCCTGAGCTCGCGCCTGTAGTTCTCGTGTGGCCGCCGTCGTGGCGCGGCGGTACGACCCTGAGATCGCGTCCCCGCCAAGGTCCCGGTGCATGTTCACAAAGTCATCTGGCCCGAGGTCCCAGCCAGGTTGCTACATCAGCGCATGGCGCAGCTCCTTGCTCGTGGCCAGCGCCTTGGTCTTGCGCCTGCTCAGTGGCAGGTTGGCCTCGCGCGCGTTCTCGCAGAAGGCCCTGTAGGTGGCTCCCAGCTGCTGGGCCGCCATGGAGCGGGGCCCTGTGACGTGGGCCGAGACGTCATCCACCGCGTTGAGCAGCCTGGCCATGGGCGCCGCCGCCGCCGCGGCCCGCAGGGCCGAGAGCAAAAACAGCTTCGCCAGCGCCGTGGCGCAGGAGCAACCAGCCACGACCGTGCCGTTGGGCGCCACCGCCTCGCTGAGGCAGGAGCTGATGCGCGCCCGCTGCGGCGCCAGGTAGGTGACGCAGAGGGCTCTGAGTAGCCCAAGGTCGAAGCCCCAGGCCCGCGCCGCCACCTTGAGCTCGGCGTGGCCAATGTGCTCGTAGTACTTCTGCAAATCAATGTAGATGGGCGCGGCCTCCTCTTGCACGTGCTTGGCGTGGGCTACAAAAAACATTGTGGAGCCGAGCCGATTTGTCACATCCTCGCGCAGCTGAGGTACCCCAGAAAGGGGGGTTGCTCCAGCGACCTCTCCCAATTGGCCGTGTAGCCGTGTAGCCCTGGCGCGCCCTTGACCAGATCCTGGCCATCAGCGGCATGGGCCCGATGTGCCGCTGCCCTCAATCGGGCTTCGGCAGGAAGGCCATGATCACGGTCCGCGGCTCGCCGCAGTGGGGAGCGCGCTCCCAGGCGTTGAGCAAGCTGGCGAGCCTGGCACGGATGTCCTCTCCCACCTCCAGCAGCAGCCGCGGGTGGAAGTTGCCCCAGCCAAGGCCCGTGTGCCTGGAGAACTTGCGCGCCGCGATCTTGATGCCGTCTACCGTGATCGGCGGCAGAGCCCACTCTCCGACGT